CTTTTCGTGGAGTTCACGTTTTGGAGTCCAAATAGGATCGAGGAACAGAGCGTCATCTTTTTGTTTCTCAAGAGCCTTTTGGATATCATTTCGTTTGGTCGCGTTTTCGCGACGCCGCTGTCGTTGTCCAACGATACGACGGCGAGTTGGAACATCACGGAACTCAACATCGTCTTCCAGTGCATCAAAAAAGGTATCTTTGTCATCCGAGTAAGAAGTGCCAAGCTCAGCATTATTTACATTGGTGCCAGGTAGTTCATTACAAATCAAATCAAGTTCGTTCTCCCAGAGATTTTCGAAAATACAAGACTCTGCAAATTTGGATGTTACAGAACGAAAATGTTCGCAGCTCGATTCTTTGATACAAATTGATGGCGCCAGAGATTCTTCTACAGATGGAGGCTCAATTTCATTTTCGGATGCATTTGTTGAGATTTCGATTTCTTGTTCATTTTTGATTTCCTTTTTGTGGGATTTAGCTAATTCAAAATCATCACCATATGCGTAAGAGACATGTTTGGATTTGGATTTATTTGTTGATGAAAAATTAGATACCACTTCCGCCTTTTCCTGTTCCGACATCGGCGCTTCCTCGCGCAGGTCCACAAGGCCAATTCCATGCTTTTTTCCACCCGTGGTTGTCGTAGACGAAGAAGAAGAGGAGCTTGACGCGGGCGTCGTGGTACTGTCCGGCTTCGCTTCTGACACCGAGAACACCATTCCAAAATGATCGCTCATCTCTTCAATCACCGCGGCAATCACAGAGGGATTGTTCTTCGGACACTTCGCCGCTTTGTGTCCACGCTGCTTGCACGCGTAGCAGATGCCGTTGAAGTCCGGTACGGCGTACACCTCACCGTCGACTTGTCGCGCGGATCCTTTGCCACGGCCTTTCCGACCTCCGAGAGCACGTTGGGCACCCTTCGTGAACTTCTTCTGCCAGAACCGGGACGCACGGTCGCTGCGGCGATTGTTTTGTCCCTTGCCGGTGGTCGCGCGATTTCCAGTGAAGAGGATGTCGCGCAGGCAGTCCTTCAATTCATCGCTCATGTGCCCGAGGTCCTCCTCGCAAATCTTGTACGAATCAAGAAACTCTTCTTCCGAGTCGGAATCTTCTTCTTCCGTGTCTTCGACCCGAAAAATCGACGTTCCACTGCTAGCACCCCCTGCAGAATAAATTCGCTTAGCACGGTCCTGGATGGCCAGGGAGTTGATCACGGAGTCGTAGTCCAAGATGTCACAGCTCTGCATGACCTTAGCCAGGGTCTCCGGGTCGAGTTTGTACTTCCGCAGGAGCATGCAGGCCTTCAGGATGTCATTGAGCAATTCGGTCGGATAGAATTGCAACGCCTCGTCCTTGTACTTGCAATCGACCATGACCTTGTTGCCAGTACCGTCGACCACCTGGCTCCCGTTGCTGTCGCGTTTCACCACCTGACCGTGACCGCGAAGGTACACCTGCGTCATCTTGCATTCCGGGCACATGTCGCCAGGGAACGTACGACGGCCTTCGACACGAATTCCATGACACTCGACGGCACAGTTGAAGTCCGAGGCCACCTCGTTCAGCTTCCGGGCGTTGGTCTGGGTCTTGTTCTTCTTGCTGATACCCACGTCCAACAAGGCGTTGAAGCTCGTCACGACCTCGTTCTTTTCTTCGCTTTTTCCAAACGCCACCACGCGCCAGATCTTCATCATGTCTTCCAGGCTCGTGAGCGTGCCGAGGTCATCTTCTCCTCCGGGTAACTCGTCGATGAACTCGAGGTACAAATCGGAGTCGTTCTTCTCCACCACATTGAGGAGATCAATGATGCCTGAGGAAACTTCTTTCTTCTTGAGGCCGAGGAGGTAACGTCGAGCGCGGCTTGTGTACTTTCTCAAGTCCTGGGGCTTCCCGGAGAAAACGGGAACGCCGGTCTCAAGCTTCTCCGTCTTGTCGGAACTCATGTTTCTTTTGTGTTTTCTATAGCCATACGCCCCTGTGGTATATCCTAGTCCCCATGTAGCAAGCGCTAAGCTCGCGATTAAGATAAAAACAATGTTAATTGAGAATAAGATAGGCTGGTAACACACATCGAAGATGGCTGTAGGTTGTGTCAGTGAAGAGCACAACCTCTCTCCGCTACCAGTTTCGGTTTTTGTGACCGAAGAGAGATCTTCACACGACACTAGATCGGGTGGACGCTTTTTGCGTACACGCACGCGTTTCCACGAGGGAAACCGGGAATACATGCCTGCTCGAAGCAGGTGTGTGCCTCTCTCTGAGGTCGTATCCCCTTGTATGCGCTCTTGTCTCTCACTCAGCTGCGGCGCGCTACGCGATGTAGTCGCGGAGCTGAAGAACTGAATAGGCCATCCACTAAAGATGAGAACTAGTAGTATAAAGGTGGTTATACTAGCCATGATAAGGTTGCTTTGGGATCTTAGAAGAGAACAATACACACCGGACAAGAGCGAATCACCAGCGGGCTCGCAGAGCAGAGCAATGGGCTCATAGAAGTGGTTTTCATCAGATACGTTCTTGCGAAAACATCAGAAGTACAAGGAGTCCAAGCAACGTCCTCAGCGTTGTAGGATATACCACCAAAGGGGCGCTTTCGATGTGTAATCTAGAATTACGCCAACGAAAAAAAGACCTGTGGATTGGGGGTGAGAGTCGCATGCTTGAAGGTAGTGTTGGAAGCAAGTGGCTCTACAACTACGACCCGAAAAAAGCATTTGGTTCTCTCGTAGTCCCGATCGAGAGTACGGCTCTCAGTTGTACGACAAGGCTGCACGATGCCGAATAGTACTTTTTGTGTAGCTTCTCTTCTGTGTCACAAGAACGAATCTAAGTAAGTACAGAGTACCGATATGAGCATCCCAAAGATCGCTCAAGTACTACTGTAAGTGTCAAACCTATTTTCCAAATAGTTAAGGCACAGAAGTAGCGCAAAACACAGCCAGACTCATACACACCACATCTGTGATTTTCTCAATTTCGCTAATCTTATAAAATTCTATATATTCTTTCGCTAATTTTATAATTTGCTCCAGCGGATCAAGAGATTGGAAGATACTATATAGATTATATGCATTATTAGGCTAGTTCGTGCATTTTTCAGGTTTCTACACCATATTGCAAATTTTTTGAATTTTTACACTTCATAAAAATGCGCCATATTAATCAATGCTGGTGGCAAACTGTTCCACAGCACTTAGTGATCATGCGCAACAATATGATGCGCATTGATTTCCAGATAAATTGGCCAATTTATCATGCTTCTGCGCCATGTCTGCAATTTTTACTATTTTGATTTTCGCGGAATTGTGCAAGTTTTTGCTGCCGTTGGTGTAAACTGATCCAATGGAATAAGCGATTATGTAAAAGTAGAGGGATTGCACCAGATAGCAGCTAAATCAGCCAACTTCTCCGGCTTCTGCACCACATCCCTAATTTTTTGAATTTTTTACTTTCCGCAAAACAGTGCACATTTGTGCGCTTCATGTGCAATCTGATTCAGGGGCTTAAAAGATCTTGCAAAACTATAGGGACTGCATCCATTTTCAACTAAATGCGTCGACTTTTTGAGCTTCTACGACACGTGAAAAATTTTCCAACCTTTAGCATCCACCTTTGTTAAACTGATCAGCCTCTGTCTGGGTGGATAGGTGTGCGGAGCCTTGGTGGGTCCCTTCCGAGCAGTATCTCCAACCGGGCCACTGGGTCTGTGCGCCGCGAGCCCGCACACCATATGTCCTTGGGACCCCCCCCCCCACCCACCCGCTTCGAGCGCGCGGTGCGGATACCACCGGGGTGCGGGACGTTGAACTTAGCGGACCGTAAGGCGGCGCATGATCACACAGAGGGCGCGTCCGCAGCTGGACTATGTTCCGCCGTGGCCACCGCGCCTCGCTCGTTCCCAAAGCGGCGCGCTACCCCGCACCACCGCGACCCAACGCCTCTTGCCGGCGCCGCGGTGCCCCGCCGCGTCCTTGCTCAACGCTGCCCCGCGGAGCTCCTCGCAAGCGCTTCCCGAAACTTGTCGCGCTCACGTCCAGCCGTGATGCTGCGGTGGCGTTCGACGTGCCGCCGCGGCGCTGCTTGGCGCCCCTCGCGGGCGTTCCCGGCGCTCTTCGCAGGCGCTATTCGGCGCTGTCTGCTGCCACGGCGCGACGCTCGTCGCAGGCGCGGCGTGTCGGTCTATTCCGGCGCTGCGCGGCGCCCCCGCAAGACGGTTTTCGACGCTTTCCCGCCGCGCCTTTCGACGCTTCCCCGCCGCGCCTCCTCGATGCTTCTCGTGAACACTCACCGGCGCTCTGCCGCGGCGGCGTTTGACGCTCCGCCGGGGCGGTGTTCGACGCTCCCCGCCGGCGCGGCCCGGCGCCCCGCGCGGGCGCCCTCGATGCTCCGCCGCGGCGCTGCCCGACGCCCCTCGCCGGCGCTGCCCGAAGCTCTGCCGCGGAATTCTTCGACGCCCGCTGCCGGCGCGGCCCGCTGTTCAGGGTTCGTCGCAAGCTCTTCCCAATGCCGCCAGGGCGCTGCCCCCCGCGCGCGGGACTTCTGGAGCGCCGCAGCGTATTGGCGCCGTCGAAAGCCAGCGGGCGCCGCCGCCCTGAAGCGCCGCATGAGAGAACGTTTTCCCGGAGGCGCCGCATCAAAGAAACGGCGCCGCCGATCCGCGTTCCCGGGCTTTCCTTCGGCGTATCTTGCTACTACGTTCCACGCCGGCGCGCTTTTCGCACAGAACGCTGAACCACTGCCCCGGCGGTAGCGACGCGGCCTGGCACAAGTTGCGGATGCAGGACAAATCGCTCGCCAGCACTGATGACGGCCTCGGCCCGAACGCCGTGCGACGGATGAGTGTCGGCGTCAGAAAGGAGAGGTGTGCCTCACTGTGCAGACCCGTGACCGAGGTGAGAACTACCATCCACCGTTTGCCGTGAGCACAAGCGGATCTATCAAGGACACGCATGTTTGCGAATTCTCTTTTGTTTTTGCGGTATGTAGCTTGTAGCACGGCCACAGGCTTTCTCTGCACAAGTCAATCGTAGAATGTTCTGTGCAAGGAGGTTATTAGCAGAAGTTAGCATGACAGACCGGCCTCCGGACCGAGCGAAAAACTTTCACTTTTCTCCCTCGCGGATTACTTTCAGGGTTTCGTTGCATCGGAAATCAAACCCCGCGGTCCCACTTGCAGTCCACCCCATAACTAGAAGCTAGCAGCAACCTTCTAACAAGGAGTTCCGGATGAAGCTGTGGGGTGTGACGCTTGCGAGCACAAGGACACCGCTTGGCGCGGCCGGCCCGGTGTTTGCAATCAAAAACTGCGACAAAGCTTGTAGCTTGATGCGGCACGGGCAGCGAATTGCACAGCAACAGACACGAAGCTTGTAAGCAGGCGTAACTTTCGATTTCGTTGATGGAAATAAAACATTTTCAATTTCTTGATATTGCCGAAAGAAAAAACCGCTAGCACTACTGATGGTACTTAGTTACAACTGCGTACAAACAACACCGACTATGTAGAGATGGCGGCACTGAGGACGGCAGATGAGCTGCCAGATGCTGAAAGTGTGCGTAAGAAGTGCCCTCTTTTTTTACTTGCAAGAATGCGCATCATTTGTAGTCGTACAACCTCCGACGTGTTGGGGACAACAAAGCACGCAGAGTAGCTGTCTGCCCGCACACGGATGCGCCTGGGCGCCGGGTGTTTCTGTGCTGTTGATGAGAGAGTGGTCTTCTAGAGGCCGTCCAGTGAGACCCGGAGAGGACCACGGGGTGGAAGTACTTAAGGGCAAAGAAAAATAAAACCGCGGTTTTGAAAGAGGGAGAAAAACTGGAGCGAGAGTGAGATTTTTTCCTCTGTGAGTGCGCGCCAGTTCGCGCTTCCCCCGCGATTGACTGAGCAGGTTTACGGCCCTTCTGCGTAGGAGCGACACAGCTTTTTGCGGAGAAGCGCCTGGCGGTCCCGGAGTGTAGAGGAATGCTTTGTAAGTAAGTAGTGCGCGTTCCAATTTATCGTGCTCATATTTCTATGTAGATCGTCGCATTACCAACATTGAATAAGTACGTCGGGCGCGTGCCTAGATTGATAGGCCTCGGCTATCGTTTCTCGCTTCTTTCTGGCGACGACGGGCTCTGTTGCGGGTCTAGGACGGGCTGCGTAGCAGTTTCGGCGGGTTGGGGCCGCGCCGGCGCGAGCTGCAGCGCGGTTTCATTCTTGGCAGAGCGAGGAAACACCGCGAACAGCTGCAGCGTGAGCTGATCAGCGTGAAGCAAGCCGTCTCCAAAAGCGACAGCAAAGGAGAAAATGTCTCTGCGGAGATCAAGACTAATTTTCTGGCAAAGAAAAATAAGCGGAGCGCCTTCTTCCGTGGCGGAACTGCGGCCGCGGCGGCGCTCACCGGTATCGCGCCCAAAATTAGCATCGGCGAGCTCCTCGCAAGCGCCTCCCGGCACTTGTCGCGCTCACTTCCAGCCGTGATGCCGCGGTGGTGTTCGACGTGCCGCCGCGGCGCTGCTCGACGCCCCTCGCGGGCGTCCCCCGGCTTTGCTACTCCGCGGCGGCATCCGGTTCCCGGCCGCGGCGCTCTTCGAAGGCGCTATTCGGCTCCCTCTGCAGCCGTGGTGCGACGCTCTCCGCAAGCGCGGCGCGACGGTCTTTGCCGGCGCTACACAACGCCCCGCCAAGGCGGTTGTTGACGCTCCTCGCAAGCACGAGTCAACGCTTCGCGTGAACACTTCCAGGAGGCGCTCTGCCGCGGCGGCGCGGCCGTGTTACTGAGGATGGTGATCATGATGAGAGAGATGGTAGACTTAGAGCGACGGGTAGACGAGCTTTCACGAGCAGCGCTAGCATGGATGAGTTGGGCGCGAGTGCGGGCGCGCAAAGTCTATCTCCGACGTGGTGAGCGAGTTCTCCGACGTGGTGAGCGAGTTCTCCGTCGTGGTGAGCGGTTCCGCATTGCAATTCGTCCACCGCACTCTAATTCCACAGTAATTCAAAAGTGCTTAGCCTAGCTATTGTGCGTTTACGCTGCCCGAGCAGTGCCACGGGTCGCCGGTGGTGGCGAGCCGCGCGCGCCCTGCTTCGCGTCGAGCCGGAATACAAGCGCAGCCTTGGACTCATCAATACAGGCTGCGCGTCGAGCCGGAACACGTCGCGAAGAGCAGAAGCGCGACTGAGATAGTAAGCGCGCGCGGGATCATGCCTTCTAAGCCCGCGCGTGCCTCAGTTCCTGCCAAGCAACATCGTCGCCCAGAATGCCGCAGGACGCCGCGACAACCGCTGCCACGATATCGCAATGAGCATTGCCCCCACTTCTTTTGCGTCTAATGCGAAGCGGTCATCATGCGAAATCAAAAGCGAGGCGCGTGGTCATGGTGGGTCGAAGTACAGCTGGACTGTGCTACGTGATATGCTGACAGCAGTATTAGTAAGTGCTGTCGGTTCATGCAAGTAGTGATAGTGTGCGTGTTGCTTTGGTTATCCCGTACCGACTCGAGCACGGCTCAATTTTGTGCATGTTCATGTAGTCGCAAGCGAGGGGGGCACTTTCCACTCTGATACGACGGTGCGCCAAGCATGCACTCCTGTCTGGCATGAGGTTGTATTCTGGGTGTGCTGAATTCGTGTCCATATCTCGCGGAGTTGAAGGAGATCGGGCGGAAGGATGGCGACGGAAAGGCGGTCGCGTTCTCACGATGCGAACCGTCTTCGCCGATCTAGGGTCTGGAAGAAGTCTCTGCCTTGGCGGGCGCCGGCATTATTACAGGAAAAACTGCGCGCATATTGTTCTTACACTACGCCGCGGGGGGCCTTTGCCGCCGCGGCCAAGGTGCAGGCGGAGCAGCGGCGCTGCCCAAGCCTGGCCACGAAGCCGCCGGCGCAAAGCAACGGCGCCGCGGCCAGTGCCACCCGATTGGGAACCCGCGGCGCCCGCCCGACCGGGCTCCGGGCGCCCTGCCGCGGCTGCGCTTTGCGATGGCGATCGCAGCTGCGCCGAACTCCGCCCCCCGCAGCGGATTGCTTTGTCCGCGGGCTATTGTGTGTTTTGAAGGAGACAAACTGCGTAGCCGCGCATTTGGGCTCGCGCTACTTACTTCTCAAGAGCAGGCTGCGCTTGCTGTGTTTCGCACACGGGTTGTTCTGCCCAAGATTGATTCATTGTCAGGAGGAAGTTTCTCTCACAACTTACTCAGCTGGTTCACTAAGATCCCAAAACAGTGATCTCGAGATCCAAGCAAGTTCCGATCTGCAGCTTGTTCCACATTGCAACGCTGAAGCTAGATCAACATAATCTGAGCGATATAGTATTTCTATGAACTACACTTGTTGCGTCCTTCGTAGCGGTAAATCTCTAAAGATCGGGTGCACTATTGAGCACCACGATCACGCTAGTATGTAGGTGGGCCGTCCCCCTCGGTCTCTCGGCGAAGAAACTTTTGCCTGAGCCACGCCTCTCTACGAAGCAGCTTTTGTATTAGTCACGCCTCCCAGCGTCGTAATGTCTTCGCTCTCGTCTTCGGTAGGCGCACTTGTGCGTTATGTTGCAAACCACAAGCACTTACTTTGCCCACGGTCAGTAAAGAAGTTCTTCCTGGTCAGTCGGAGAGGGCAGAAAAGTTGAATGGAATATATACAGAATGCAGCTGCTGCGGTCGTCAAAGTCGTTCGCAACCATGTAAATGCACCCCGTAGAAGGTAGAGCATTTCCATTCGGTTCCGAAAACATAGCTGCAGTTCAGTTTTAACGCATCACGACCTAAACTTTTGCCGCGTTCTTGTAGGTCGTCAACGAACCAAGGCTGCTACTGCCTGCCTGAGGAACAGCATTTATTCCCAGCATCACAAGTATAAGATATTCCTGACATGATCATGTGGTTTTTCTGCACCGCCATGTTTATGAAGCAGAGTTTAGGCACTTTTCCTCGTATGAGTGCAGGCACTTTATTTACACTTCTTTCCGCACAAAGAACAGAGCTCGTTTGACGATGGCCTCTGCTTGTTTTGTCACAATGAGACGTCGTGATAGCTCGCTTGGTTCATTTGCTCCATGCCTGCGAGGAGTGTGCCGGAGTGCGGCAGCAGACTTGAATTGCCACCCAGACGAGTGCTGGACACACCTCTTGCAGCCTTAATGGATCGACTCCAGACCAGACCGGAGGGGAATGCAATCGATCTGGATCTTCTGGTACGCTTTAGACAAGAGGGCGGCGGAACAACCAAGGCTGCGGACTCGCCCCCCCCCCCTGACACCGGATATCAGGAAGTCTTTTCCGTATTGCTTTCCTGCTGGTCTCGGTTCCATCGATAAGTCGAGCCATTTACGACCCCGAACGCCGCGTCTGTGGGACACGGAGCTCCGGAGACCGCGGGATATGGAGCCCTCGCTGTTGCGACTACGTGGTGCGGTTCGGCTTTGAAGCTGCTTTTGGGGCAGGCCACTACTGAAGTAGAAAGCAGCATGTGTGCGGCGCTGTTGCCTGCAGGTCGGTGTTGAGGTTGAGGTAGCGATGAGCAGCAATTTTTGTTGCTGAAAAGTGACCCTTTCACTAAACCGTGGAAAGAACTGGCACGAGGACAAAGGTTGCCGGTGAGTGAAGGTTGGCTTTTGAGCTTGAAAGCTTTCCCTGAAGAGATAAAATGTGTAAGAAGGTGGTGTGTTTTGGTTTTGTTGGAAAAAGATGGACTGCGAAAGCGAAATGCTCTACTGTAAATATAAACATGCTTTTTGCAGTTGTAGTTGCGCTTCTGCATCTGCCGCTGGCACAATAAATATGGCCCACAAAGCAACTGTCTGCCGCAACTCGGATTTTCACTAGCGCCGGGTGTTTCTGTTCTATCAATCTAGAACAAAGTGATCTGAAGCGAGTTGCAGTGGCCGGTAGGCAGTGCTAAATTGTACGTAGGCACGGAGAGTACACAACCAGCAACGGGAAAAAAACTCCAGCAAGGGTGAGGCTTTTCCCTTCTGTGACTGAGCGCCAATTCACTCCGCAACATCAGACTGAGCGAATTCACGACTCTTGAGCGCGGGAGCGAGACAGGTTGTTGAGCGGCAGTCCCAGCGGGACTCGTAGTGCAGATGGACGCGTTGCTGGAGCGTTCAGCGTCAGCCCTTTTCTGTTTCTGTTTCTATGCGGATGTTAGACACGCACTCTATCTAGATAGAATTAGACACGCACTCGAGCACAGCTCGGAATCACGTTCGCCTGCCTAGATCTATAGGCTGCAGCGGCCGTTTCTTTCTGGTGGCGGGGCGCTTCACGGCCGGCTTTGCGCGTGCTGGGTTGCGGTGTGGCGCCTTGCCGGCGGCGGGAGCTGCAGTGCGGTTCCTCGCGCCGCCGCCGCGATGCCGATGCGAAGATGGCGCTTCGCCCCATGATGCTCGTGGAGGTGTTCGAAGAGGTCCAGGAGGAGTTCGAGGGCATCCATCTGGCCAGCGGTCTCTAAGAAGCTATGCCTAGTAAACTATCGCACCAGTTAGAAATAACACAGATTGCCTTTTAAATTGTAAAAGTGAAGATGCGCTTTGTAATGCTGACTCAACAGTACTAGATGCAGCACTATCCTGATGCTCTGCGATGACTACGGGCGCGATGCTTTTCCTGAGGACAGAAGCAGCTGCTGGATGAGTACAACGCGCTGCTGGCTATCACGCAAGAAAATGTTGCCACCTCAGCACCTATCTTAGGCTATGCAAAGGATTTGTCATGATTCGCAGTTAGTTTAGATTGAAGTTAGCGCCGGCACCAGCGCCCTTCAACGTCGTCCTGCGTGTGTTTGTGATGTTTTTGGAATTTGTTGAGATTAACAAATGTGAAGGTGGCAGTTATTTTCCGCATGATACTTGTCGAAGCCTTTGAGGAGATTAAGGCGGAGTTTCAGGGGATCTATCTGACCAGAAAAACTTCTGGCGATCGCCACGAATTTGAAAGCTTCAGCAACAGGTATACAAAAGAGATCTGCGAAGCAAAAGAAGCAGGAGAGCGCGCACTCTTCATGCGCGACTTTGCTTTTAGTGTCATGCACAATCGCGGAATCATCGGACGAGTTTGAGTTTGCATAATGCTCCTGCAAGAAACAGTTGTAATCAAGGTGGCTTCATCATCCCACAAATAGTACGATCCAACCAGGGAGTTTTCTTCGCATAAGGGCGGCACGCAAATCCAGGAAATTTACGTCACTGAAGGTAGTTCCCTCCGCAATCAAACACGGACTCTCAACTTTGTCATGCAGTTTGATCATCCTAGGACAATGACAAGATGAGTCTTGAACGAAGACTTGTGGATTCGTGGAGTAGTTTCATTTCAACACCCGTTGTCAGTCGTTGACGCAACAACGTTTTCTACAATATCTCCTCGCATGCATCAGGTATTCTCATAGGCAACCAAGACGGACCCACTGGGGTTTTGCTTAAGTTTTTTTTTCCTAAGTCGTTTTGTCAGGGTTTGATTGCGGCCTGGGAACTGCTTTTAATCGGATGAGCCGCAGGCGGAAATGCACGCGGTCAAAACGGCGACGGCGAAGAGCTCGGATGCAGGAAAGAGAATGTTGCTTCGGGCGGAGTTTCGGGGCATCTATCTGACCGGGGGCGGGATATAATCCCGGCAGGGACCGGCACGCCTGCGCGCCCATGGTAAAGATGGCCGCGGCGCCCTCGCGACGCCGCGGCGGAAGGACGCCGCGAGCGGAGCACGCCGCGGCGGAGAGGCGCCGGCCGGTGGCCCGGCCCGCGCGCGCGGGCGGCGAAGTCCTGCCGGGCGGCGGCGCCTGTGTGCGTGCCGCCTGGGAGGTGCTGCCACTGTGCAGGAAACCTACCGCCGCCCAGGCCGGCGGACAGAAGTGGCCCCGGCCGGGTGGCACCGCAAAGCACTTACCCGGCGCAAGCTGCAGCGCCTCTGTGAGCGCTACCGGAGTGCCAACTCCCAGCACAGCCTTGTGCTGACGGGCTAAAAGCAACCGCCGCGCTTCGCCACGTCGGCCGCAGCTGCGCCAAACCTCGCTTCCCATAGGAGGGGCGCTTTCTGTGGCATGCGCCGCGGCCTCTGCAGCGTAGCGAATGATGATGACGATGCTCCATCGATACTCGCTTCCCAGTTTGCTTGGTTGTCGCGGGTTTCGCGCTGCAAGAACACAGTAGACGGCTTGTTCCCAACGGTTGTGGATGTGATAGCAATGTAGTGGCAATGATCAAGCAGACCGCAAAAAGTTCATACTAGCTGCTTCTGGTGGCTGCCCGGAGCCCGGGCCTGTAAAGAATGTGGCGCTGCAGCAGATCATATAATTTATCATCACCATAAAAGTGGCGCCCAAATGAAAGATCTAATTGGAGATCACTTCGAAAATAATCAGTGAACGCGAAATAGTCGAAACGGAGGCAGTACGGTCACGCAAGTAAAGATATAAGTAGTGTCTTCCCCCTTTGTCCGTCGTGTAAGGAATTATATTCGGTCAGCCGTGCCTTCCGTCATCGTGCTCGTGGTATATGGTCACCGTGTTTTCGACCACTACGTGTGGCTTCTTGTCCCTATTATCAATCCGTGGACCAACACTATATCACGTCAGCAATAAAGTGGGATATTCGTAGTTGGGATAAAGTGAAACCGTTGTTGTAAAGTAGTACTGCCAGGACTACAACTGCTAGAATCGTGTTTCTACAGAGAGTTTGCTTGTTGCGGTTATCGCTCTGGTCGCCGTCGTCGTTTTCGCAACCGCGTGTGCGGCAGAATATTGTTCGCTGTGTCCTACATGCAATTTTTCCTTGCTACTTCTAGCCGCTGCGATTCCCACTCGGAACGCGTTCATCGGGGAGAAACACAGACCACATTCCTGCCACCAGGGTCGTGGGCTTTTTGTTTTTTGACTTTGATTTTAACTTTCGTCATCATTTTCACTGGGTAACACCATTTTCACCACATACACTTTTGAATATACACAATGAGATGCTGCATTTTCCCCCGTCGGCGGCCGAATGATCGCTGGTGCGCCGCAGCTGATAGAGTGAAGAAGGAACCGCTGATGCCCAGCAGCAAGAGCACCACGGCGGTGGACTCGTCGCCCGAGCCGGATATCCCAGCCGGATTTCGGGAGTATTGCGAAACCATGGCGATCCTGGGAAGGACACCGAAATACGAAATCCCGGAGGTCGTGCGGTTCGAACTCCCTGCGTCCGTCCCAGGTCGAGACGCGAATCACACTTCCTCCCAGGTCGCGAAAATTCGGGCGGAGATGTGTGAACTGCAAGCGGCGCTCAAACGGGATCACCTGTCCGCCGAAGCACTGTGCCGCAAGGCGGGGGTGAGAATCGGGGATCGTTGCGGGAGCTTTTTACGGAAAAGCAACAAGTTGCTTCGCCTTGTTGATGAGCCGTTCCTGTGCATCAAGATCCATGAAGAACAGCCAAAAGAAAAGAAACTGTCGGTGACAACATTATATATGCGTCGCTGACCTCTGTAGTACCTGTAGGACGAGTGTCATGTTGTTAGTACCACCTCCACACGGCAGTATACACTGGAGTCAACAAGGTGCGTTTTCGTGCTTCCATATTTCGTGCAGGTGGTGCCGCCCTTCAGCCGCATGTTGTGAGTGGTTGCTGTCTACTTTGGCTAGTCATGTGAAATACACTAAGCAACTTTTGCGTGAAGGTAGTGAGTTTCGTTGAAAAAATAACAGCACTGGTGACTCTTGGCTTGGTCTTGAGATTCTACCCGAAATAGCAGCAAAGTGTCCTTTACTTTCTTGGTCTTCAGTTTGCCCGTTGACAATTCGGAAATCTAAAAAGAAAAAACGCGTCGCATTGTATGGTGTGACGGAAAAAGAAACTCTGGTGGAGCGATTCTATCATGTACAGCCTTACTTGAACTTGACCGAAAAGGAAAAAAACCAGTAGCTACTACAGCACCACTTACCACTTGATGTCACTAACAAAGAAGATACAACAGCCAGAATTCTTCACAACGGGGAAGGCGGCGGAGACCTGTAAAAGGCTGCGCTTTTTACCGCTCATGTGTTGAAGCTACTTGATTTTGCTGTGTGCGAGAGTCTTTGATGAGCAGAAGAGAAACGAATCAATGGCTGATTCGCGTCTCAACGCGTGCTTGGATGCAGGATACATGCAGTTGTCGTCTGGCACAGGGTCGGTCGTCGTAGAATATTATCAAAGAGCAGTTGCGCGACAGGCCTGCTCATATTGCAGCTACGATCGGTCTCATAAAGCTGTAGAATAAAAACTGATAATTTTCTGATTCTGATCACGCATCAGTTGGTGCAAACAGATGCCAGAACGCCTTCGGTGCCCACGGGTTAAGAGACTCTGACTAACTCTTTTCTGTGTAGCTAGCACCCCCGCGACCGCAGGTCGATCTAGAAAATTTCCGCACAATTGCAGCAGGATTCGGTTCCCTTGTCCAGTTCGTTTGTACCTGGTTGCTCGGGGGCTGCTAGCCTGACACATGCGCCTTGCTGCGTTGTTTCAGAGATGTGGTCTGGCAGCCATAGTTGATACGTGTTTCCCATGCTGAACAAAGATGCGTTTGCGTAGAGTGTAGAAGCGAGCGTTTTGAATGTGCTTCACCTAGAGCGGAAACTAATGCCACGTATGGCCGTGAGCGTGAGAGTGAGTAATGGAGGGCTGTTTTGACATTTTTGCACCATACCAACAGCGCGAGCGAAGCGTTCGGAGTTGTGAGCGAGGAGTCATACACACGTATCATTCGTTATCGACGAAGATACACAACGCGTAAGAATCAAGTCTATAAAAACTAGCTTTTGTCTGGTAGCTGTTCTACTGATCGAGCAGCGTTACTCTACCATGGTGCAGGGTACCGGTCCGGATCCTCGTCGCGCCGAGGGCTCTCTCGAAGATCGCAGCGCGCCGTAGTTGTTGCGGCGGTGGGAGAGGCTCCACCACTTGCGGCCGCGGGCTGGAACTGCCTCTAGGACTGCCACTTTTGGGAGCAGGCGCAGGCGACCCCGCTAGCGCTGTTATCCAAGATGGAGGAGGACTCGGCGGCGCAGCAGAAACGAATTTCGCAGGACAAAGAAATCGAACGGAAGAAGCCCGGCGGCTTGGACGCTCTCCCCCTTTCGCGTATGCGCGGCAGCCCCGCGGCCTGGCTCGGTTGCGCCGCGGGCTTCATTCTCTGCGCGCCCGTCGTTCAGCGCCCGCGCCCGGCGCCGTTTGCGGCGGCAAAGACACTGGCCCCCCGCCGGGGGCGTTTGCAATCGGCGCACCGTAGCCGAGCGGCGGCGGCAGGCCTGGGGCGTTTTGCTGCTGGCTGGCCTGCCTGTCGGCGCGCCGGCCTCTCCACCCAAATGCGCGGACACCGGTCCGGGCGCGGCCGCGGCGCTTGTATTGGGCTGCCTGCACAGTACTTATGTCGCTGCTTTCGCTTCGTTATCGATTGATGTTTGTCGCGCCAGGTATTATTGAAGCGTCGAACACGTGCTCGTGTTGCAAGCCATTGCCGGCGGTTCTTGCGCGACAGGCTTTGTAGGAGATTTCCGAGGGAACTTGAGACGAGAGCGAGGCGTGGTACGGAGTGAGCGTTCATAGATGAGCAGATGCTGCTTCGCTTTTGATCCGGTCGCTCTCTTTCTGATCGGAGTGAAGGTGAAGGCCGTTCTTGTGTATACATGATAATTACCAGTTTGATGTTCCCGTAGTGAGGACACTCGCTTTACCGTTTTGGAGAGTGGATAGAAGTACTTAAACGCTTACCCAGCACAGCACGACACGCACCGTTTTTGAAACGTCTAGTACTTTCGTTTTTTTTTGCGATAAATACGCGGAAGCGATAAAGCATAGTCTAGAGCGCAGACTCGAACAGCTTCAGCACCACACTATCGCACACCAGGAACGATGCCCGCGGCACAAGCAGAAGCGGCGCCGAAGACCGGGTACTAGAAGCGTTCTTTTTTCTTGTAGCTCTGACTGCGTGACTATCATGATGAACAAAAGTGCCTCCATTCCATACCGACAGAAGATTCGAAAGGAATTAGGATCCTCTCCTGAGTCACGGCAACGAGGGTGCTTCGTGGTTTGATGAGATGGCATCTTGTAAAAGTGTGGAATGGCTGTGCTGGTCATTCTGGGAACGTTGTTGGTGCAATTCCGTCTCGGAGCTCTAATAAGTACTTCACGACCTCCACCTCCCAACGTCAGCGCTTGGGTGTGGTGGTTGTAAGAATCGAAAATCACGAAAGAAAGTTATCTTTTCCTATGGGCGAAGGGATGGGGGCATTTTTCATTATGACGCGCGAGTCTGAGCGTCTTGGTGTCGCCAGTACAGCGGTTGCGGTTCAGGATGAAAAAATTTGCGTGACAAACGATAGTGCGTAGATATTTTTGCTGTTTGGCATTACAAATGGCAGCAGTTTTGATTTACCATGTTGATTTCAACCCCACCAATGAAACACACAGGTCCACCGAGCAGAAGGAGACCCCATGGTCCAAGCTGAAATCCGCATTATCCGAATGACACATGGGCAGCACGTGCGCTAGCCTTGAGTCTTTTTCAATTACTATGCATGACTGCAGCTGCACTGCGCATGTATGGGTACTTTGAATGAGGGGAGTAACGTTGTCTAATCGCTTTCTCGGCTTTGTTATCAGAAGCTTTTGGTGCATTACGGTGTGGAATTGCAACGAAAGAGTGTGGCGGCGCACTGGCTGATAAAATTTTCCTTTCATATTCGGTGTTCGGTGAGGTACTTCGATATATTTTACGAACGAAGATATTCATATTTCTACACTATTCCCAACTTCTCAGTTTCTTACTCTCCACATTACCACCTCTCTTGTCACCCGTAGTGTGTGCACTTCGAGCATAAAAATGAAAAACCAGAAGAGGACGAAGATCGTTATTTGGATTTTAGTTTTTGCCATGCAAAGACAATGGGAGCCAGCAGGAGCATGTGTGTGAGGACCAAACTCGTACGATTTTAATCAAAAAAAAAAAATCGATAAGGCGAAGAAGGGCGATGCTGGGGCTGCCAACTATTATCTTGTGGAAACATCACTTCCCGCCCCATCTAACTATCCACCCAAGCGACGAGAGAGCAACTCGCTCAGATGAGATTAATCACACCTGCGTACTATGATTCGCCGCGTTGTTATTTAAGTGCCCGAGCGCGTGCAAAGGGGTGTCGCCGTGTAATGCTTTGTATGTAATGTGAAGAAGAAGATAGGCAATAGCATACTATAATTATACCCATGATCTCGACGAATACGAATACGTGAAGTCAGCGATGCTTGCTAAAGCGCAGCAGACAGGGGCTTCTGCACCAAAATTAGCTTTCGATAGATGCAGGGAGGATCTTTCCACAGGATACACGTCCACCTCTACGAAAAATTTGGTCACATCAATCACAGCGAAATCGTCCACCACCTAGTGTGCATGCGAATAGTACAAAACAGCATGAAGATAATTTTTCAGCGTTTCTAGACTGACAGGCGCAAAGTACAGTTTGCAGACCACATGGATGATCTCGTCACATGAGCGCGAAAACAAGTTGAAATTGGTGGTGGACGGAGCATGGTAGTTCGGGACGGGTTATCAAATGCAAACATGCCTGGGTCCTCTGGAAAATAGCGCGAATCGCGAACTGAACTTCGATGCATCTCAACTCTGTCATGCATGTTGCGCATTAGTGGCGTTCCTCTGTGGCGGTCAGACAAGAATAAATAGATTTTTCATGCGCACTATGATAAATAGAACCACTGCAAATTTTGTCGTGTTCGGCCGGATACCGCAGTAACTTTGTCATTCAAACACCAGCATAACATCGCTTTCGAGACACAGGCATATTTCCGCTGGATACGGGGAAGCAGCTTGATTGTTACGGGACCAAATGCTCTTTCCTTGGATAACAGAACGAAGCCCGTGGTGGAGTACATACAGGCCCAGCCTTATCCGATGCAAATATGTCTGGGTTTGGAGATTTGTGATGTTGAACTGTGGATAATGAAAACGCTTCCGAGGCATGCAGCCGAGCGCGACAAGCTTGCAGAACCCGTTGTCATCCGCATGAAAAACTGCGTTTCTGTATGACAAAAGAAGCTGCGACTTTTGGTGGTCACGCAATACAGATTTCACACAGATGTAACAAGATCGCAGTTTCAAATTGCCAGACCCAGATGGTGTTAGCAATGCATAAGCCTGCTAGATATGCGATTGGAAAGGACTCCCCTCCCACCAGGTTGTTCAAAACTACGTCTTTGTCATGCTTTTTTCCTTATGCCTTGCAAATATGTCTGGGTCTGGAAAGAAGTGCACTTCCTTGTCGTGAGCACCTCACAACACACACAAATGTCTCATGCATAAGCAGCAAAAGTCATATATTTCTGTGACTAACTAAATAGCGGATTTGTCATGCGAATTAGGCATTGCAGAATCTTCTCGAGACTTGCGACGCTAGGGCTTTCACGCCAGCCCTCCAGTGTCATGCAAAAACAACATGATCTTCTTGCTTGACCCAGACATCTTTGCAGTTGATATGCCGCGGTACCTGCAGAAGATGGTCAGACCGTCGCAAGTTGGTTCCGGTCCTGGCAACTGATTTTCAAAAAAAATCGAAACCAATTTTTCGGAGCGGGCCTACTAGAAAGATCGAGTTGTCATGTTTTGATTTTGAACCTGGCGGGGGAGGGGCGTTTCAGCTGCACATTTCCCCGCTTTGAAAAGAATTTGTGGAAGTCGTCGTTTTTTATAAAGTTTTAGTACAGTGCATTCCTATTCTTTCCTACAGCTTACTTTACGTGTCTACACCTATTCATTGGCGCGATCAGCCTGACGCTTCAACGAGATTTTTGTATGATTCGGAATTATAATGTACCTAACTACAACTAGATAAATTATTCTAAATTTTTCACCATCTATTTCCAGATCCACAACTTCAAATCGCAAATGTTTTAGTAGGACGCAGTATTTCACGACCAGAGTTCGATTCTAATGTACAATTTCTAGATCGGTTTGATACAGTATCACTTGCTGGCTGGAGTTGCAGTGTACCGTACGAAAGAAACCAGCTCAACAAGAACGAACGCACCAGCCCAACTACACAGCTAGTACCAGGTACAAAATTAACTTTAACAACAGTGGAGAACAATCTGCAGGAACAAGTGAAACGCTCTTGCGCAGCACCTCCGCCGTCCGCGGCGCAGTTCTGTATCGGCTCGACTGGTTTTCATTCTTGTTCCCCCACACAGAGTCGTTGCGTGATTCTCGCCTATCGGTGCTCGTATCTCCTCACCTTACGGGACGACGAGTTTTGTTTTTGTCGTCCCGCGGGGTCACAGACCCACTGTATAGATCGTGATGTCAACAGGTTGATGTCCGGAAATTCATATTTGTTCCGCTTGCTCTCGCGGATCAATGTGAGGTTGACAATCGGCTCAACAAGGGATCTGAAAAATTGTCGGTCTGTCACGCGTAGTAGCGGAAGTCTTTCACGCGTGGTCGTGAAGGCTCAAGTGGTCTGAAACTTCAAAACCGCTATCACACTCGCACAGTGCTAGTGCTGCTGCTGCTGCTGACAATGTGTATTTACATTTAAATCGTCTTACTTTTCTTCTGTCAAGTAGGGCTGCAAATTAATACTGATCTTACGCAGGTTCTGCAAGTTTCTGTCCACGTGGCCACGTGGCGTAATATAATCTGTGAACAACAAGAAGCACCAGCCTCGGTTGCATTCCTCGTTAGTTGTTCCTGCACGTGAAAAGAGAAGACGGTGCTGCGCGATGGGGGTCGGGAAGATCAGCGTCAGTTGTATTGTTCTGAAAAAAACACAATATCGACTTCGTCAAACTGGGATCGCCTGGTGCTTTGTGTAGTTTGGCAGCAGGACTACAAGTATCGGTGGGTCGTAGTACCAGTCTGAAGTGCGGGAACCGTGGTGCAACCAGTCAACGTTGGGTCAGTAGTCACAATATCGCATCAGGAAGATGAACAGAAAATATTTAGTAGAGCTGGCTCCGTGCTGCGCGTTCAAGTTCAACTACAAGCTGGCAGCTGTACTAGATGATATCACACCACTCAAAGCAAAAGGGGTTTTGTACTAAAGGCCCTGACACAAATCGCAAAGTCGACATCGTAAAACGGTTACGTCCTCGGTTTTCATCGACCAAAAACGCAGCAAAGTGGACTCCCATTATTTTCAAATGTGTGTAGAACTACTAAAGGTCGCAGTGAATCATCTACTGCCAAAGGCACCTTCTGCGCACAGCATCACCAAGTCTTCCGAGTAGGTGGATTGTTTTTTCGGGACATCAGTCGTAGTAGTTGTCCGAAAAAAAACAATTTTGCGCAAATAGGAAAACTCCGACTTTCAGAAACCTCAAGATTAAGTCTTCCTCCACGCCTTTTGGATCCTGCAACCGGAAGCCACGTCTTTGACCGCAGACCCGTAGAGAAATTTAAAACCACTGACCACGAAATGCCGGACTCGCCGTCTCGTGACCTGAACCTGACGCCGCTGTTGCGTGGGGGAGTGAAAAAAACCTTCGCTCCCGCGTTTCAGCCGGCTTCGACGCAAGGAGAGACGCGCGCGCCGGCCAAGGCTGCGGCCGTATCAAATGTAAAAGTGTCTGGGTCTGGAAGATTGCCAGGCTTGTCATGCACATTTTGCATGACTCCTGATGTCTGTGATGCATGCCCTAGCATCACAGATTTTGTGAGGGCTTCCTGATGCCTATACCGCATGACAAATGCTCTTTCTGTGTAGGAAAACTTGGCTCTCTTTGCTGCTCATGCAATACAGATTTTTTTAGAATCCAAAATTTGCATGACAAGTTGGATTCTTCCAGACCCAGACATTTTTACATTTGATAGGCCGCGGCACCGGAGTATCTGCGGTCCAAGCCCGAACTGTACCTCGGTCGAGACGAGGTCCCGGCTCTCCGGGAATCCCTGAAGAAGGAGATCGCAGAGGAGCTGGAAGGCAAACTGAAGATCTTCACCCAGGAGGAGGTGAAGAAAGAGGTGACGACGGCGGTGGCCGTATCCTGTGTAAAAACGTCCCCACCCCAGAGTTGTGATGCAGAATTGCGACTACAGGAAGATTTGTAATGCGCATCTCCATGAGAGGCATTGCCAGTCGTGCTTTGGAATTTGTAATGCTGCAAACAGGATAAGCAGATGGATTTGTGATGCCGTTGTCCTTACTAACATGCACCACACTACGGACTGCCACTTGTCATGCGTGGCTCCCAAAAGTTCTGGATTTGTGTTGCTAAGTTCCCAACTTGACTATGGGGTGGGGGCGTTTTTACATATGATAGGCCGCTTTGAAGGAAGAGCTTTCGTGCGCGTTCGAGAAGGAGTTGGGGGCGAAGGCGATGTATCAACTGCAAAAATGTCTGGGGCTGCAAGATTGCCAGGTTTGTCATGCATATTTTGCATGACCTATGAAATGATGTCTGTGATGCATGCCCTAGCGTTGCATATTTTTAGAGGACTTTGCGATGCCTCTACCAGCACATGAGGAATGCCCTCTCTGCATAGCACAAACTGGAGAGCTCTTGCTGGTCATGCAATACACCTTTTTTTAGAATCCAGAGACAGCATTACAATCTTCCAGACCAAGACATTCTTGCAATCCATACGATGGCGCTGAGGGCGGAATCAGCTACGAAGTCCCAGAATGCGAAGATGGCGGTGGAGCGGCAGATCGCGGCTCTGCACAAGGACCTGGAGAAGCGGATGAGCGCCATCGTGCGGGTATCATATGTAAAAGCATCCCCACACCATAGTCAAGATGGGAAGTCTGCAACACAAATCTCCAAGTTTTGGGAGTTCTGCATGACAAATTTGGCCTCATAGTGTGATCCTGTTTAGCTAGTTGAGCAGCATCACAGATCCAGCGCAGCATGCCGATTGGAGCATGACAAATTTCGAAACACGACGACAAAATGCATTTGCATGACAACTCTGGGGTGGGGACGTTTTTACTCAGGATGGCGGGGCTTCACTGATAAAATCGAGGAGATCAAGCTGATGCAGGCCAGCGACCGGTCGGCCTTCCAGTACGAGCTGCTGCAGCAGGAAAAGAAAGTACTATTTGTTGGTTGAAGATGAGGTTGGAGGGCGCATGAAATGCAATTTGAATCATCGATCTTGCTAAGTATGCTGTGGTAGGCAAAAAAAAAAATCAAATCCAGTTGGCCTTTCTGTCGAGTCGCCAGCAACGGGGCGAGGTCGGAGATCTCGTGGGTTCCATCGCGGCGATGGTCGCAGATATCAAATGTAAAAATGTCTGGGTCTGGAAGATTCTGAGACTTGTCATGCATGTTTTGCATCACCCAGGATTTCTGTAATGCACGACCGCGCATCACAGATTTTGCGCTGGCTTCCTGATGCCTACTCCGCATGACAAACGCCCTTCCCGCGTAGCACGAACTAGACTCTGCTTGCTGGTCATGCAATACAGATTTTTCTAGAGTTCAAAGCTAGCATCTCAAGTTCCAATCTTCCAGACCCAGACATTTTTACATTTGATAGCAGACAAGACCACGCGAAACAAGATGCTGGAGTATCTTGTGCAAAAGGATCGCAAAAGTTTTACAAATTTGTGCAACCACCATGCAGAGATGAACAAATAAATCTCGTGGCTTCCAAGCAGGCAAGCACTTCTACTTGGACCAGCATGACATCAAACTCGTCGAGATGCAGTACTCATAAGTACAGTACTGATATTGGGATACTTTTGCAATGCATATCGAAATCGGCTCGGTGATCGCCGACGAGGGCGATGTAGCCCGGGCGGACCAGAGTACCCTCGAGAAAACTGTGCGAGCGGTCATGGCTACGAAGCACGGTTTTCGCTTGGGCTTCCGCACGCGTCTCGCCTTGCAGGGAGTGGGGTTGTGGGAGGGGTCCCATTAGGGTCGTCCTCCTACAATCCCACCACCCCAGAAGGCTGCTTCGGATCGTCGTGGAAGTACTCAACGATTCTACTGATCGCTAGCTCGTTCATTTTTTAGAAAAAACTCCCTGTGCTAGCAAGCAAAAACACAATTTCAATTAGTATTCTACTGAAAGCACGCCGCAGCTAGTCCACGAACAAGCTCGTGGGAGTTGCCTTTGATGAAAGATGTTGACAACCTACACCGTCCACTTTGCGCACTATAACCGCCCCCGCTTGTCGCGGGTTTATGTTTATCCCAACTAGTATCATCTTTGGATAGTTAATGTCAGGGTAAGTAAATCTAAATGCTTACAACCTGCACGAGAAAAATAAAGTACAGGCAAACTGTGGCGATCGTGCCATTACGCGGTTTTTCACACTGATATATAAGCCGCTCGTTGTCTTGCTGCAAATCGCAGTACGCTACTAGGAACCACCTAGCTGTCTTTGAAATCCAAGATAGCTATACGTTTCGGGTCGTGAAGTTGCATCCGCGCGATGTTCTACTTACCACCAACCGCTTGATTTTTTTTAGCATTGGCATCTTATTCTCAGTTGAGAAACACACGACTTGTAGTTTCTCAGCAAGAAAAACAGAGACTCACGTTTACTGGAAAAGGGCATCTCTTTTGTAATCCGCGCTCGCATGTTTATGTTTTTCTTCAATAAAAGACAGAGTCCCTTCACTGGGTAACACCGTCATCATCAGAGTCCCTCCAGGTGGGGCCATGCAGGTGGCAGCAAGTCTCTGGTGGGCTGTGAAATAAGCGCGTTGGTCGTTTTGTTCAGTGGTATGAGGGGCTTTCGTGTTACTCAGCAGACGTGGAAGTGATTCTTACCAAGATGGAAGTCAAGGGCCGCAACGCGCGAAGCTGGCCTGTCTCAGGAGGCAGACGCGGCGTCACTGCACCAACTACGATCCTTAATTTCCGGTGTGCAACAACATATTTTAGATTAAGTATTTCTGGTCTACTGCAAGATGGATTCGCTCAGTGTGACCGAGTAACATTGTCGCCACGGTGAGAGTTGTGACACCAGTAAATTCGGTCGCCTTCCACGATGCCTTACTTTTCAGCAGAGCTCGTGGTACCGAGCTGACATACGGAGGTCCAACCGCGAGCGCTAGATTTCATTCGTCATGGGTCGGTGTCTGATTTTAAAGATCCGAGAGTTGTCGTGCTTTAAAGATCCTTTTCCTGTGCGTTCGCTGAAAGAATGACTGTTCCGTGTCCGTCGAAAGTAGATGTTGCGAAGAATTACAAGTACCGTACCTTTACTCGTTTCTACAAGATCGGAATGCACGCCTTGAAAGTTCAATCTGTTGCGAACCTTAGTGAGTGCATCGTGCTTCGTTCGTAGCTCGGGTCGTTAAGCTGAGGGAAGTCGCGTAGGAAAAATCGTGGAGCTGCGGGCTTCTCGTCTTGGGAGCTGTACCTTCGTCACCGTTGCTTACATTGAGTGGTCGGAGCCAATATGTGTTTACTTTTATCACAGGTAATTTCTTCTTGCCTCCGACGATCATTGATTTCTATAATGCGCGAATTATATGCCAGAAAAGTAGGTTTTGGTTTTTTGCCGTTTGGGCAAGTGCCAGTGCAAAAGCTATTCGTGTAAGAAGAAGAACAGACTCGAAACAAGCTTAAATAAACTGTCGTCGCTGTGCAACCCCACAACGAAATGCCACAGATATTAAGCGACACTGGAGACATGGCTATGAAAGCCGAAGAACCGGACGCGGGGAAGGACGATATTACCTGGATTCCATCTGGAGAGAAGCCCTCCGGCGGGTCGGTGGAACAGAACCTGCTGGCCGCGTCGGGGGAACAGGTCGGCACGCCGATGGAAGAAGCCATGGCCGGGTCGGTGGAACAGAACCTGCTGGCCGCGTCGGGGGAACAGGTCGGCACGCCGATGGAAGAAGCCATGGCCGGGTCGGTGGAACAGAACCTGCTGGCCGCGTCGGGGGAACAGGTCGGCACGCCGATGGAAGAAGCCATGGCCGGGTCGGTGGAACAGAACCTGCTGGCCGCGTCGGGGGAACAGGTCGGCACGCCGATGGAAGAAGCCATGGCCGGGTCGGTGGAACAGAACCTGCTGGCCGCGTCGGGGGAACAGGTCGGCACGCCGATGGAAGAAGCCATGGCCGGGTCGGTGGAACAGAACCTGCTGGCCGCGTCGGGGGAACAGGTCGGCACGCCGATGGAAGAAGCCATGGCCGGGTCGGTGGAACAGAACCTGCTGGCCGCGTCGGGGGAACAGGTCGGCACGCCGATGGAAGAAGCCATGGCCGGGTCGGTGGAACAGAACCTGCTGGCCGCGTCGGGGGAACAGGTCGGCACGCCGATGGAAGAAGCCATGGCCGGGTCGGTGGAACAGAACCTGCTGGCCGCGTCGGGGGAACAGGTCGGCACGCCGATGGAAGAAGCCATGGCCGGGTCGGTGGAACAGAACCTGCTGGCCGCGTCGGGGGAACAGGTCGGCACGCCGATGGAAGAAGCCATGGCCGGGTCGGTGGAACAGAACCTGCTGGCCGCGTCGGGGGAACAGGTCGGCACGCCGATGGAAGAAGCCATGGCCGGGTCGGTGGAACAGAACCTGCTGGCCGCGTCGGGGGAACAGATCGGCACGCCGATGGAAGAAGCCATGGCCGGGTCGGTGGAACAGAACCTGCTGGCCGCGTCGGGGGAACAGATCGGCACGCCGATGGAAGAAGCCATGGCCTACGTCGGAACGGCGGAGGTGGACGCCGGCGCGCCGGCGGGGGTGCAGGAGATGCTGAACAGTAGGGCCGAGCATTACATTAGCGAAATCGTCGCTGAGAAGGTGCTATCAAATGCAACTGCGTCTGGGCCTAAACGAAACTTGTGATGCTGGGTTGTGATGACTCAGCATCCTCGTCTCGCATGCCTTCTAGCATAGCAAATTTTTCTGTCGGCACTTTCTCATGCGGAGCGCGCATTACGACCTGCGGGGTTTGCATGACGAAAGAGGTCGCGCTCATGTCGGTCATGCAATACAGATTTTCCGTTTCCACTTCCAGTCATGCTAGCCGAGCAATAGAGGTTGCTGGTTTTCCAGACCCAGGCACATTTGCGGTTGATAGGTGCAGGAGGCACTAAAGGAATGTCAGGCGGAGCACCGGGAAGAGCTGGTTATCAGAGTGACAGAGGGGGCAGCGTCAAAAACGAAAAAACTGTGTGAATCGCACAAGTGATACCACGCAGTTTTTGGACCGAGCATTTCTAGATGGCGCATGACAAATTTTTCTGAAATACAAAAGCAAACGTTTCGACATGCCGTTTGTTGGAAAGATGTTGATTGCTCTAGGCACTTTCGTTCCACAACCTTTTCGTTTTTAGTGCCAGCAGGCTTACTATCGGCGTCGAAACTGGAATTCTCTGCTGCGTGACAGGCGAGTCTCGTTTTGACGTTTCCTTACCTGAAGCTAGCATATTTGTGGCGCTTAACCAAAAATTCGCGCAACTGCAAGAATCGCAACACCAAATCAAGCATGAAGTGCAGACCGAGCTTACCGTCCAGAACACGACGATTGAAAAGCTGAACGAGCGGCAGAAAAAAACGGACGTGGCAGTCGGGGATTTGTTTAAGGTACGCATACACTCGCCTGAGTTGTACAAATTTGGCATTGTTCTCCGATCCTACAACTTGAATGCTAGATCTTATTGATGGAAGCTAGGTTTTTTTACCGGACTCGCACTTATCACTGAAGACACGAATGCAGTATTCGCACAACAGGTCAAGGAAGAGTTTGAGAAGCAGAAACTGGTCGTGCTCAAACTGGACCGAGAATCCCAGGTCGCTTTTGCCGTGAAATCGTTTCGGAAGCTATCCACTTGATGCAACTTTCAGGAGAAGGATTTTGCCCTATTACTGACGGCTGGATTTGTTCTGCGCATGATCTTTTTCACCTGCTAAAAGTCCTGGGGTGCTGCAGCTTTTTTTGCACTTTGTGCTCGAAGTGCCTGAAGCTAATAAATGCATTATTGAAGATGTACTTCGACTAATAAACTCAAACTCCCACAGTAAAATTAGCCGGAACTTATTTGTTCACTCGAATGTTGGCTGGTGCCATCAAATAGCACCCGCGGGAAGTAGTTCCCTTTGTGGAAAGTTGTGTTTACCCTCCCATACCCTCTGTTCAACGTGTACCCGGAGCCGTCGTTCCGGCGCGTTTCGAAAACCAAACACCTGCTGCAATCCCTCACCACGCTGTTTGAGAACCAGAGCGGATTTCTTTCCGCGGAGGAATGGCGGCAGCTCAAGGACTATCAAATGTAAAAATGTCTGGGTCTGGCAGATTGGAACTTGTGATGCTAAGTTTGGACTGTAGAAAAATCTGTATTGCATGACCAGCAAGAGGAGTCTAGTTGATGCTACGCGGGGAGAGCGTTTGTCATGCGGAGTAGGCATCAGGAAGCCCGCTCAAAATCTGTGATGCGCGGTCGTGCATTACAGACATCCTGGGTCATGCAAAACATGCATGGCAAATCTCAGAATCTTCCATACCCAGACACTTTTACATTTGATAAGGACGTGGTCGCGAAGGCCGAATCCAAGGTGGACTCCACGTACGTCCAGCACTGCAAGGTGGCGATTGACAGCTTCGCGGGGGGTGCCGCAAGCTTCACGGAGGGAGCCGCACCGTAGAAGGAAGGCACTTCGCTTTCTTCGATGGAGATGAAGAAGTAGGACAAGAAGCAAGTGCCAGTGTGCGGAGCAGGAAGTTTTTTGTTGAAGATTCTTACAGTGATTCTTATACGTTGGCGTTTCCAAATTTATCTTTTACATTGGTGTTGTTGTTGATAGTTTTACAGAATGAAAGATCTTCAAGTACTAAGAACCTCACGACAAATCATTCTGGACAGTGTCAATCTGGGCCATTTCTTCTTATGTCAAAAGCTACACAGTATAATTCCCTTTTCACATCACCGTTTCGTCGATTCCAACTTACTAGATTTGCCGGTAGTGGCAGTGTATTTTAAATTGTTTTCACAGAAGCAGAAAATTATAGTTGCCCTTCAATAAATCGTTGTCGCTGTCCAACGATTATTATCGCACGTCGTTGGAAAAAAAGTTTTAAGTGACGTAGTCTAGTATATAGCAAGACCACAGTTATAGAGAGGTGCCCACCGCAGGCAAAAGCAAATTCCACGAAGGTTATTCAAACATTGCTTTCTGGTTGTCACGTGCACGTCGGTTATATCTATGTTTTACGAGAAATAAATGTACACTATTAAATGACCTACACCACTTTAGAGAAAAAACGAAAAATCCTTTTAGAAAAGTCTCGTTGATGCCGCACTGGGTCGAGAAGCTGCACAAGAAAATTTTCGCAAGCGTGTATCTAATTCATCGTGCTGCGGCGGAGATTGAGTTTCGCTCGAGGTTGAAAGTGAGGCTCGGGTGAGCGAAGCTCGATTTTTTTTCGGACCACCGGACGAGATCATTACTCGCGCTCGGGCATCGAGCTGCAATGAATTGCTTCGATTGTGCACTTCGCGTCATGGAAGAGGCAGAAGCATGGTGCTTGCCTTTGCTGAGCCGCTGCGCATTAAGCAGATCTCGTTTGTTCCTGTTCATCAGTACGGCTTTCTCGCTGTCGTTTTTTCGGAATAATTGCGGTAGTTGACTTTCCCTTAGCTCGGGCGTGTTTTTTTCTGTTCATAGTTCACAGTCATTGATCTTCTTGATGGCTTCATCAAACCGATGGTGACGGCGCCGCGTTGTGCGCCTGGTCCACTGTCTTTGTGAATCTAATCCGCTCCACCTGCAGCTGACTCCCTACCCCGAGAAAAGAAGTTTTCTGTTGCCCTTGATGTAAGTAACCTTTCAGTAGTTGTTGAAGAAAACAGAAAGAGTTGATCCCTTTTATGATCTAGTACTCGCTTCTTGTTCTTATCTACATCTAGGTTGGCATTGGTGTTGTCCACGGGTACTTTTATTTTCGTTGAGGATCGTTATACATACTGCGGTTTTGATTATTTTTGCGATCCTGTTCCTGTAGTGTTCGTTCTCGTTGTCATGTCGTCCACAGCACAACTCCCGGCTGCCACATCGAAGTCGTCCTCTGCGGGCGCCAATTCAACGTCGTCTTCGTCGCACGCGGGACAGCCATTGGACAACGTAAACGCATCTTCGACTCTGCCATCGCGCGCGGAGGTGCAAGCAGCGATACAGGTGAAGCAGCAGGCCGCGAACCTGGTGCGCGACTTGGGGTCTGCGAGCGACATGCGGGACGCGATCGATTTCGAGGCGGGCGTCGCGAGGTCCTCCGCCGGCGCAGGTTCGCCGTCCGTTTCGCAGCCAGGGGCCGCCCGAACCGTCGCCGAGGAGGAGGAGCAGCGGTTGTTTTACACCGAAGGACCTGGCAGCTTGGCCTTGGCGGTCAAAAGTGAGACGGGCCAGTTCCTCACGTACAGTGCGACCGAGTTGTCCAAACTGTTGAAGCGGATGGAAGACATCATCGAAAAGTGGGATCTCAGTACGGGGGAAGATGCCGGGTCTAGTGAAAGCGACTCGGTAATCGACGCAGACGATGAGGAAAGAGACGGCAGACTGCAGTTTCACGGTAACGTGTACAAGAGTCTGATGGAAGTGCTGGCCAAGTACGACCGCCGGTTCCAGGGGTACGACCGCAAGTTTCGGGACCACTTCAATACCGTCAAGGACACACTGCAGGCAGAGAACGTACTCTAACTCGTAAGTACATTTTTAAAGGATTTCCAAAGATGAGAAAAATTTAGCCCGTCGTGGAAATGGATACGCAACACTGTATAGCCGGACGACACTAAGTACTTATGCTCTTTTCCCGCCTCATCTATTTGTTCTCAAATGCAATAACCATTTCAGTTCCTACGAGTAAGACAAAAGGTGAGTTATCGAAGAAAGTCTTACATGAATCGTCTCAGGTGACCAGTAGCCTTTCGCGGCTCCGCGACTTGGACCGGGGAGTGGCAGTCGCTGTACAGGCCATCGCAGACCGGCGGGCAGCAATAAGCGAAGATCCGGCAATATGCATTGCGCATATGTAGTTGTCTGGGTCTGGAAGAGTGCAAGTTGTCATGCTGCCTTTGGATTCTATAGAAATCTGTATTGCATGTGCATGAGCAGCAAAAGAACTCCAGTATGGGAACGTCTAATCATGATGCGCAAAGACATAATAAGGGCACTAGTAGATGTATCAAGAAAGCCTTACTTCAAAATCTGTGATGCTGGGTCATGCAAAATGTGCATGACAAAGTTGCTTGCATTTTTCCCGACACACACACACATATTTCCAATCGATGGGCGGGCGCTATTTTCGAGGACTTGCACACCGACACCAGGAGCGCATCGATCGAGCAGGCAGCGAATACTTTCGCCCAAAAGTTCCGGCGGTTGTGCGCGGGCCACCTGACGGATTACGAGTCGCTCCTGGACAACCTGCACCAGAGCATTCGAGCCAGTATCAAGCACGCGGAAGGTATCAAAAGGAAAAATCCCCCCTCCCCATATTGATCAGGTGCGTTTTCGAAAATTTGTGTTGCTGATATGTGGCCACCAATCGCATCTGTCTTGCAAGAAGGCAACTCCACAGGCCCCGCCGCCTTATGCAGGCGGTTTGTCATGCTCATGCTGATAGGCGGTTTTTCATGCTAAGCCCCTAGACAAAAAGCGCTCGTCTTATGCTCGGTAGGGGCCTGCAGTCCTCTCCAGTAACACAAATCCGATTTGTGGACGCAAAAAATACAGCATCACAAATTTCGTTCTCGACATGGGAAAGGGTGGCTTTTCCTTTTGATAGAAGCGGTCGCCGCGCTCCACAACGGTCGTCCGCCGATCGGGGCGGGGACTAGTAGTTCCTCCTCCTCAATGTCTGATGGAGCTCCCAACGCGGTGCCGGAGGAGTTGGTGGACCTCGTCTCGTATCCACTGCAAATTTTTTTCCGACTGGGTCTTCTGGAGCAGAAGTGCAGTTCTTACTATAATTGTCATCCTTTTTTTTTGGGCGGTTACGCATGCAAAGTACAGCCTCTTCGTAGGTCTTGACATGCCTGGTGTCCCGCATACGAATATTATTTGTTAACCTCGTATCTTTGTAGAAAACCAGAAGCGTGCTGCAACTTCATTTATTGGAGCTCATGATGCAAGATGAAGTTTTACACAGATGTCTGTGTAAACACAAGTACGTCGCGCCATCACTCTCCTGACCCAGATGCATTTGTCTTCCGTTGATACCTCGGTGAAGCTGCCTACGGACACTTTCGACGACCGGGTGTGCGACAGTCTGCGAGCCACTTTCCGCCATACCATGACATCTCTTATCGACATGTGCGTCCTCGAGGTGAAGCGGGACCTTCAACACGCGGGATTGGACCACTCGGCGGTACCAACGGCCGGAGAAGCGGATGCAGGGTTCGCGGTCGGGGATGCGCCTGCCGCCGGTGGCCACCAGTTACACTTGCATCAAACTGGCTGGCTCGCGTCGCCCGAGCACGAGGGCGAGGTCCGGGGTGCAACCCTGGCCGGACAGATCGAAAAAACGGTGCAGGAAAGTCTCGGGGACCTCGACAAAGCGTCAGAAGCGGCGGTTTCGGCCCTTCAGCAGCACGCAAAGACGGAACTGGAGAAGCTGTCGAGCACGTTTGAAGAACAGGCGGCGAAGGCGAAGAGGGAGGTGCTGGCCGACATTCGGGCCAGGCAGACCGACGCAGAAAGTGTCGTGCGAGCCGCGCAGACCGAGGCCAAGCAGCTGGTGGACTATCGAACAAAAAAAAGTGTGTTTACTTGACTTACTTGACTACTATTTTCAATATGATCTTCGTAGTGGAACGCATAAGTGGAACACCATACTTACACTTCTTATGTTGGACTTGGATCTGTGCGGGAGGGAGTGGACTGCACAGGTGCAGAAGACCACGACTCAACGTTCCGTGTATTGCTGGCACTTGCGTCGCCACCAGTATTCTACTTTTATGGTCATGGATCGCCAATGCGGCTACCGCGATTACACTGCTTCAGTCTGAGTAGAAGGTCACACTTCGCACTTTTGCTTTTGCATATGAAAAGGACGCAGGCGGCTGCTACCAGTGCGGTCGCAACAGCGCAACAGACCGCCACCGACGCAGTCGCGACAGCGCAGGATGTATCAAGTGCAAACATGTCTGGGTCTGGAAAAATGCAAGTTTGATATGCTTGTCCCGCAGGACTTTTGAATCTGTAATGCTATATGCGTGAGCAGCAAAAGAACGAAAAACAAAAAGGCCTCCCGCCTGTCATGCAAAAATGCAGTTTGCCATGCGGAAAGCGAAACACAAGGGGGCCCAGAGACTTGTCATGCGTGGCTGCGTATTGCAGTGCGCCCGCCATTCAGAAAATAGCATCACAGGCTTGTAGACGCAGACATATTTGCAATGCATAGGATGTAGGCATCACGGCAGTAGTGACAGCGCAGGACACAGGGCTCGAGGCACTAAAGACCGCCGCAAGCGCAGGAACCAATGCGGTCAAAGCAATGCAGGAGACGTATTCTGTGGAAAAACTTTCTCTCCCCAGAGTCGTCCTGCAAATCTGCAGGCCTAAAACGTCTCTCATGCGCAGCCCCATGAGAGCCAGTTTTAAATGCGTATCTAGTAGCTCGCTGTGCTGGAACAAAGATAAGGACGTCAATTTGTCATGCGTGTGCACTAGCTAAACAGGACTAGTACACTACGATCCTAAACTTGTCATGCTCGACAGCCAAACCTGGTGGATTTGTGTAGCAGAATCCCCACTCTGACCATGGGGCGGGGGCGTTTTTACACAGAATAAGACGAGCACCAAACTGTTGGCGGCGGAGGGACAAGCCAGGAAAGGCGAAGTGGAAAAAGCGGGAGAGTATCAGCTGCAAACATGTCCGGTCGTTTGGGAACTTGTGATGCATGTCAGTGAAAAGAAAGCACGCTGTATTGAAAATGCGCCGTCGAGCATGACAGCTGTTTTCGTGGGTCTGTGTTGTGTAGTCCGCATGAGAATAAAGTGCGTATTTGGATGACAGATCGAAGAGGAGCTTTTCGCGGCCACGCAGGACAACTACAGAGCTCAAGTTCATGCCAGACTAGCATGACAAATCTAGCAGTCTCCCAGACCCAGACGCGTGTGCATATGCATATTGAGGACGGAAAGGCGAAAGTGGTCGCAGCGGAGAGCGCAGGGGTTGCTGCGGTCGTCAAAGCCGGAGAGGACGCGAAAAACGCGGCGCACGGAGCAACCGCCGCGTTCTTGTGGAACCTCACCTCGTATCCTGAGTAAAAACGTCCCCACACCAGAGTTGTAATGCAGATTTGCAAACAGGAAGACTTGCAATGCGCATCCCCATGAGAGCCATTGCCAATCGTGTTTTGGAATTTGTGATGCTATGAACAGGATGAGCAGATGAATCTGTGATGCGGCTGCTCTTGCTAACCTGCACTACACTGCAGGGCGCAACTTGTCTTGCGTGACTCACAAAGCTCCTTCTAGGTTTGTGTTGCAAAATCCCCATCCTGACTCTGGTGTGGGTACGTTTTTACTCAGGACACCTCGCGCAAATTCTTCATTGTCCTGATCGTCGTCTTCGTCGCCATGCTCGGGAACCTCGTGGTGCTCGACTTCGAGTGGTCTCCGCTGTCGTGGATCGGCCTCAGATGGAAGCCCGAGTCCCAGATTACGGTGGAGCGCGACGAGTTGAAGCGGCTCATTTCGCAGGCCGTCGCGGAGCAGCTAGGCGCGAAGGTCGCCGAGCTGGCCACGAAAAGCGACGTCAGCAGGGTGCAAGAGGAGACGAAGAGGGTGCGGGAGCAGCTTTATCGAGAGGAAAACACCACCCCGCCGTCCTCAAACGAAAAAACTTGCATTGCGGGGCTTTGCAGTGGTAGTGTTGAAAAATTCCAACTCGTTTGTTGTATGCACAAAGCAAAGCTACAGCTTCCCACCGCATTGGCGAGGTAGTTTGCCTTTTCGCTTGGGTACTTAGTTACCCCGCAGTCATTCTTAGCCATCGCAGGGAGCGCTTGGTAGAGCGAAATAAGATCTTGGGTTGCTCTGCCTAGTTTTCGCAACACCCGTACCAGACGGAGTGAACAAGTTCTGAGAAATAGCGCAATACAAGTCGGGCTCTGAGTAAAAAGGAGAGGTGTGTCTTTCCGTTACGATAAACCGGACGGCTTAGCCACGAAAACCCAGGTGGAGGAGGTAAGAAGAATAATGCAGGAGAACGGCGTATCCACGACAAATTTGTAGTCTTGGTCTGGAATAGCAGTGCGAATGTGAGGTTCTTGTCTGGCGTGGCTCTAGGTACCTGTAGAGCCTGCGATGCTTGTTCTGCGAGAGCGCCGCAGCGTGCATATGTCGCAAAGCTGCGTCTTGTATATGCGGAATAGGTCCTGCATAGTGTCCCAAAAATAACGGCCATGGTTGCTCGCGTTTTTGGGATTGGCCACAAATCAGCAAAAAAAATTTTTAGACCCAGACATATTTGCATTGGATACATGGAAACCTTCAGACAAACAGCCGCTGCGCTGCAGGACCAGATCCAGACAAAGAGGCAGGGGGAGATCACCGGTGCGGGGGCCACGCAGGACGACCCGACCCAGGTTCTTATCCTACCGAGATGCACGCCCCTACAAGGAAAAACAAAGTGCAAGCTGCATATCGTTATTTGTTGTGTACAGCGGGTAAGCCTCGAAAACATAAACGCCCGGAAAGAATGAAAGCTTTGTGATGCTGATCCGCAAGTGGGGTGAAAACCTGCCTTGCTGTAGTGCGGAAAAGGGATCAGAGCGCGAGAACGAGAGGCATCGAGAAATTTTGTGATGCTGAACGGACAAGAACAAAATTCGTTTTTACGAAAAACCCTCATCATAGGTGGTGTGCTTTTCCGGAGGATACTTCTTTACGTGTCGCCGTAGGCTTTGCTCCTGTGTAAAGTTTAGCCGAGCTGCTGTTGCGCGACGCAGCTTTGTCGCCCTCCGCTACTTGATTCCAGGACCCTGAGTCAACTAGCAGCCGCGGTCAAGCACGAGGGGCTGCATGGCGATGGTGGTTCTTTGAGGTGAAGACCAAAAAAGGGATCATCTGAAGAACACAAAGGTTAACAAGTCTAGGAAGAAGTAGATACATCTTGTTTATGTTGTCGAAGGACTTGCAGCTGCAGCCCATGTTTGACTCGATTGCTCGGCCGATGATGTGCCAATTCTTCATTTGATTAGAAACCTGTTGGCGAAGGTCAGACTTGCGCAACGGTTTATGCAACGGAGAATTCAAAGTTATATACCTCAAGTAAATTGTAATTGAGTACTTAAGAAAAAGACACAAAGCTGCGTGTAAGCGAGGCCTTCCGAAACAAGTACTTCAATGCGATCCGCATTGCACGAGCCGATATTGATTTCTAAATGAGTTCTGCTTTGTATTGACCTTGAGCTCCACCTTCCTTCTCACTTCAGTTCACTTCTAACTATTGTCGGCTTGGTAGTGCCATTTTTTGACATCTTTCATATTTGCGCAGTGTTCGTTCTTCTTCTTTGAGGTTGGAGTTGTAGTGAGGTCACCGAACGTTATCACGCGAGAGTCTGAATCCATCGTGGGAAACCGAAATATTTTTCATCAGAGCGCCTTAGACGAGAGACTATGGCATGAGGGCGGTGGAGTTGTAGAGGTCGCTACACGAATCCACGCCGTTCTAAGTACTTACACGTGGCGCCCGAAAGAGCGCATCATCAGTTTTGGGGAACTATAAATATTAAAACATGGAAAAGATATGAGTTTTGAACACTTTGCTTTGAAGTAGGTGTACTTCATCGTAGTTTGAGTTTTCCTCTCCTGTCACTCTCGCTGCCGAATTGTCGGCCGCTGCATAGTTTCTTCAAAATGGCGAAGATGGGTTATCCAATGCAAGTATGTCCCGGTACTCTGGAAAGGGAGGTCTACTTTGCTGTCGCTTCTTCTTCTGCAGATCCCATCGCGTTCTCCAAAAGGCTTCGCATAGGTACATAGCCAGAGCTGCAGCTCCGCACCGGCCTGCTGTGAGACGGAAGTTCTGCGTTGACGACACGCGAGTTTAGGTTTCCCAGAGTCTCCGTTATCAAGTGCAAGTATTTCTGGGTCTGGAACACTTGAGACACTTTTGATGCTACTGCTCTGCATGAGAGTGAGCTCTGTACATCCTGTCCTCTTTGTCCACAAGTACAAATACTTCTACCTTTTCTGCCTATGCATAGATCGCTGCTTGCTGCAGGAAGCGCATTATGTCCAGACACAGAAAGAGTTGCAAGGCATATCCCGGGCACATTTGCAATGCATACGGGTCAGAAAGCTATGAAGATGAAAATGATGGCTGCTCCGCCTCCGCCACCGGCTGTGGACAATGAAAATGAAGGTGAACAAGGAGCGGAGGGCATCACCTTGGAAAAGTATTTCCACTCCAGAAAATAACAAGCAATTGTATGTTGCACGCAAACACGAGCGGTCGGGCTTTTTGCATGTCTGGTTGGAACGAAAATTCGCTTAGTAATTCCCTTCTTCTGGGAGGTGGAGAGCCGGTGGCCAAGTTGCTGCTGAATATGCAGAGCAGGTTGCTGCAGAGCAGGTTGCTGTCGTTTCTGTGGAGTGGTGGACTTTTCAATTTGATAGCTGACGACGATCCGCAATCTAAGGCCGATCGGACGAAAAGCAGGTTCTGAATTTTCTATCGATTTAGGACCACACAGTCCACGTAACGGTCATTTCAAAACATATAGTAGATGCAAAGTGTTCATTCAAGAGGTAGGAAAAAATTTGCAGGTAAGAACTGGGAGCTTCGATGCACTCAGGCTCTGTGATTCACAAGTGCAGAGGTCGGGAACAAAGATCCACTGGCCCTCCGTGTCTTGGTACGCATGATATGTGATGCACTGATTTCCCCTCCCCGCCTGTGTGCTTAGAAGATCGCGTAAGATGGTTGCGAAAAATAAAAAAACAGCAACTGTTGCAGGTACGGAGCGGCGAAACAAGAGGAGAAGCTTTTTCGATGCGGATTATCCGAATTTAACAACTTGCATTTAGTCTTCTATGTCTTGCATGTGGTTTTTTCTTCTAAAGAACCAACACACCGACTTTTGTGTAAGGGTCTTGCTTCATAGACGTTTTTGTAAGGTAAGCAGCAAGGCAAGGGTCAGCGTTTTTGTGACTGTGCAGAAGCACTCAACGAACTGCATCTTTACTATCCGGAGATGATTGCAGGTTTTTTTTGGATTCTGGGTGCTCGTGCTGCTGCTCCTGATATATGAAAGTGGCAGTCTGGCAGATCACATTCACCGCACTCGTCACAACATTTTGCCCAAGTACGAATGCTGCATTCTGGTCAGCACTGATTGGCAATTGTGCCTCGCGAGGACTCTTCGGCAGTTCCACTAGTGCGAACAGGCACAGCTCCCGGAGCTAACAGCTGCGAGACCGGGTGCTTATTCACGTGTGACAGCTGCAGACTTTGCTTTCATAATATCCTGGCCGTACATTACGCAAAAAGACAATAATCATAATGATGAGAGGTCAGAATCAGACCTTGTCGCACCGGAAACGTACCTAAGGAACATGATTCAGCATTTATCTACTATTTTCCCGGCACACGAGATAGAGTTTAAAGCAACAACCGTGCGTAAACGTAATCGTAAGTAAGTTGGACTCTCACTGCAGGTGTCTTTTTGCCCCAATGCTGCAGTCTTGCATATCTTGATTACCCTGGGATACTTTGAAAGCTGGAAGAAGGACGCCGTGACGTATTTCATGCTGTTTTTTCTTTGTGAAAATGAAATAATGCATGAATAAATGAAATTTAGTTTTTTCATGATAATCATAAGCCATTTATTACATACAACAGGGCCAAGATCATCACCTTGCCCGGAAACAAGAGTATGGGACGGTCACTGAGAAAATCGTCAAAGTGAAGGTCATGAATTCATAGTATGTGCACGGTATTCTCGATCATTGGACAGACAGACTGTTTTATTTAGCGGCGATGCCTAGACGAATTTGTGATGTTAAGTAGGGGAACTTTTCTTTGTTTTTTTTACTAAAAAAGGTAGTCGTGGAAAAATCTCCTTTCTGGCTGAGACGACTTTGACAATTCCATAAACAAAACTCCGTCGCCGGCGCCGAATGCCGCATCGGTACAGAACATGTGGAGATGAAGCAAAGAAAAGATGTCCAGTGACCGAACCATAAGACGTTCAGGAGACGTACAACTATGCGCTGACGCAAAACTTGTATTTTTGAATTTGAAGTCAGGCTTTGATGCGTTGGTGAAACAATACTAGGTAAACGTAATTTGTTAGGACGAAGGCATGAGTTGAACAGTATGGTGGGTTCGTGAGATTCAGGTCTTTCTTTGCTACGATAGCAGGAAGCTGACTCCGGCCGCGACAAGGTGGCGAAGTTACTGGAGGAATCGGAGAAAATCAGCGAGCGTGTATCCGATTGTCAGCTAGATTCTGTAGGGGCTTGTCATGCATGAAGTACGTTGTGGTCCTTGGTGAGAAGGACGAATGCAGAAGTTGTTTTTGGTGTCTGCGTACCACAAGCATTGGCAGAAGAAATGGATTCGCTTGGGGGACCACGACAACAGTTTATGACATAGGAAAGCACTGATAGCGACCCAGCTGTTTACTCGGATAAGAAGCTGAGAAGATAAAGTAGTCAAGTGGTGGTGGCTTTCACGCTGAACATGCTGGGGGAGAAATTTTACAAAAAGTAATACATTTATAAGTTTTACGCATTAGCAGTCGCAGGCACCGCATGCTACGAAATACTATCATCAATACAGTCTTCTCTCTCTTTTAGTTTTTTAGTTTACTGAAGTTACACTGTACAATGATTTTGCTGGCAATCATGGTCACCGAGCGTGGCAAGACATCACTCGAGCCTGCGCCGCGAGGTCAGGGCGAATAGTAAGCACGAGATGGGCTCACTATATTTGAAAACGAATTTAAGGAGTTAGCGTGGAAACGAACTATACTCATCCATTGATGCAAGAGGGCTAGTAGCTACCGAAGAGGTAGGCTGCAAATCGAAAATTTGATCGCGCGTCAGCTCAGACGCAGTGCAGAAGAAAAAGCTGTGGAGCGCAAGTTGAAAAAAGACAGGCTGCTTTGCAAACCGAGACTAGTGCCAGCGCCAGCCTAGATACTGCGCAATGCGAGCAGGAGCGGGCTTGTTCCTAGATACTGCGCAATGCGAGCTGCAGCCCATTCCAGCGGATCGCTGGAACGGGCTGGCGGCTGAAACCGGGCAACCTTTCATCCGGCCCCCAGGCGGAAAAAAGTTTACCAGGTAGCCCTTAGTTTTGATTTGTCATCCCACGACCCTTCCTCATGTCATGCGGGGGGAGGCGAGGGCGGGGCGCTGTGGTCAGCTCGGTGCGCAACATTTTTAAAAATGCCGCGGCTTTTGCCGCAGCGCTGTTTTTAGCAAAGCTAATCTGGTGACCCTGATTTCGCGGTCGCAGAAGTACTCCGCGAGCCCCGCGACCCCCGCGACCCCCGCGACCCCCGCGACCCCCGCGACCCCCGCGACCCCCGCGACACAACAACAACTCAGCAACAGCGCAACAACAACTCAACAACACCTCAACAACACCTCAACAACAACTCAGCAACAACTCAGCAACAACTCAACAACAACTCAGCAACAACTCAGCAACAACTCAACAACAACTCAGCAACAACTCAGCAACAACTCAACAACAACTCAACAACAACTCGACAACAACTCGACAACAACTCAACAACAACTCAACAACAACTCAACAACAACTCAACAACAAC